GCACATAAGGACGCTGTCATAGCCTGTCAGCGACGTTGATTAGCTGCGTATATACGAATGTGAATCGCGTGATTGGCTGGACTATGGGATAAGGTGGCATCGTTGTAATCAGCCAGTCACTGACTGACTCACACTGAAAACAGAATTGTTAAAGTATTAATTTTAATTTCAGTTCAGGTTGGATATTTTTTGTGCGCAATGCAGTTTTTTTCTGCGCAGACACCGTGCCAATTGCGCACGTGCGCAGCTTAGAGGGTTGCTAGAAAGATTAATAATTCACACATATAGGGGACACACTAAACTAGGCTGGACCCTGTGAATGAGACACATAGTTGCAGGAAGCATCCAGTAGATCTACAGAGATAAGTTGAGAAAGTGCTTACATACATTTTTGATCCCAAAAGAAACAAAAGTAACCATTAAAAAGCCTTCTTATTGCATTATTGTATAAAAGGAGTACTGATATCCTTCTGTTTCAGCTCATGTTTGGCTGTTTCAAGTATGCATGTAAAATAAATTCAATTAAAAAAAAGACTAAAACCAAATTTATTCTTCAGTGGGGGAAGAAACTGCCTAATAAAGAGCTACTTTAATGTTTTGTTCAACTATGTGTAGTATTTTGGATGCCTCAGAAAGCAGCTATCCAGATGAGTGGCTAGCTGCTTGTATAGTGAATTCAAAGAACCACAGATTTACAGGTTACAGAGGGTTTGTTAGTTTGCAGACTATTTACAGACAGAAAAATAAGACTCTGCTTTTTTCTGCTTTTTTGGGCAATGACCAATGAACATATTATTATTAACTTTGTTTGAATATACTTTTACTTATTATCTATTTGTTTTCTGTGACGTTTTCAGATTATCGTTTTAAAGTCACAACACCAAATTTTAAGTACATACATTGTAGCTATGTGAAATGGGGATTGCTTTGCTTGTATTATGGAAAATATGAGTTGCACCATGCACTTGCTGCAGTCAAGTACTTGTGTGGTGACCTCATTTAAACTCCCCCCCCACAATCATTTCTCACCTCTCAGAGAATTGCTCAATGTGCTGTGGCTTCTTCAACTGTAAGTAGTTTCTTATTATATTATATCAGATTAACAAAAGACATTTTTGGTCACTGATGTTTAAGGGTATCAGCCTCTGAAACAACTGTTCACAGTATTGATATAATTTGCTGTATAGTTTTACTTTCACACTTTCACTTTGACCAGAAATAGAATCAGAATACAGGTTTTTGTTGTTGCTGCTGTTTTGTTTTTAGAATCATGAGCAAGACTTTTAACAGTGATCAGAATATTTTCATGCTTTTAGCAATGTTGAAAGTTTTCTGATCACATTTGAAATTTTACCACACTGTAAAAGTATGATTGTTTTTTTTAAACTCACACATTCTTTAATAACTGAAGATAACCAGAAAAACCCAACAGATCAAACATGCATTGATCTGTGCATTGCATTTAAAATAATTATTTGAAACCTTTTACCAAAATGTTGGGATGTAGATGCATAAAGTATTGTTCTGTAACTTGTAAATCAGTAAAATCCTGATACAAGTACAATCCCGAGAAATTCTGTTTTGCTTCTTTTGACTTTCACTTTTTTCTCTCCAGTACCTTTACTCTCCAGGCTGTCTTCCACTGCCTCCCTACCTTCACGGTAAATAATGTTTAAATATCACAGTCTATGGAGACTCCTGCCTGGTTTTATCTGTCCACCAGTCAATCACCATTAAAAACAAGAAAGGGCTGAGAGCTGATCCCTGTTGTATTAAAATGTGCTTTGGTCTATCTACAGTGTTGGGAAGGTTACTTTTAAAATGTATTCCATTACAGATTACAGAATACATGCCCCAAAATGTATTCTGTAACGTATTCCGTTACGTTACTCAATAAAAGTAACGTATTCTGAATACTTTGGATTACTTAATATATTATCATGCTTTTTACAACTACGTGAATGTACTATTGCTGTGATTTATTACTTTTACTGAAGGTCCGAACCGTAGTAAAGGGACCTCTGGCTAATACGTCGGGTTCGTGACAGGCTCGTAGCCGAAAAATAGCTTTACTTTGTTGTCTGGGTCAACTCTGCTTGCGAGAGACAGAGAGAGGCGTTGAAAGGCTGCTCCAACAGAACTTGTTGTTTCGGAGGAAAACACGAACACAGCCTACAGTCGAGTCTTAATAGCTTACTTACAACTGGGCTCGTCAGGCTCTCTTCTTGGCTGCAGTGGTTATTATTATATTTACATGCTTCCAGCTCCCGTTTCTCCTCGATGACAACTCGTACTTTTCCACTCACCTTTTTCTCCCTCCTCGTGCTCACAGACACATAACGGGTATGGCAGTCCATTCTCCCAGCAGCACGGACTACACTACCCATGATGCTACATTCTTTAAAGCAGTAGCATTATGTCTATTAACTTAGCACAACAACAACAACAAAAAGGCGCTCTCTCACCCACGAAACACACAGAGAGAGGGTGTGACACTGTAACCATGGCAACCGTAACGCTGCCGCCTGGAACAACAGAACGTAGCTGTCAAACAAAACCCAAACAGTCCTGACCCGCGACAATATGAAACAGGGAAGTACCGCAGTGTATTCCATTAATTTCAACAAAGTAACTGTATTCTGAATACCACCTTTTTAAACGGTAACTGTAACGGAATACAGTTACTCATATTTTGTATTTTAAATACGTCCCCAACACTGTCTATACATCTACGTTTGTAAGATTTTCTTCTAAATATTGGAATGTTTTTCTTCCAGATTCCTTGCTAGCTTGATTACGACTTTGACTGGAAAAAAAAGACACAAATCAGTTTGTGTGCAGTCAAAACAAAACTGCAGCACTTGAGTCGTGCGCCACTGGATTATACTGGCCATCACATAAATAAGTGTGTAGTTTGTGAACACTGAAAACTTTTTTCTTTTAATTCATACTTTGACCTATGCTGCCTGGTTATAAGTGTAGAAATTAGTTGTTATTGTTATTCTTCAGTTATACAAGATTAATAAAAGCAATGATCAACCAAAGTTATTCCTGCAGAATCAGCAGCGACAACAGCCTGTGTAGATTCACTGTAAATGGTTTGAATTTTACAGGAAGTACATTTTCTGTGCTTCAGCCAATCACAGTGATTTCCACTTGGTAAACCTTGATCAGCTTGTGACTAAATCTTCCTTTGAGTGGGAAGACATCAGTTGTGTGAAAGAAGGCTGAGGTACCACAATGATCAGAAGACTGCTTTCTTTGATTCTTCTAAGTACATTGTGTAAGTTGACTTCACTGAAACATCTGACATTGTAAACAATATAAAACAAAAATCTGTAAGGTTGAGTAATGTTTATATATAGATGATACCTTTTTAAGTGCTTTGTCCTGTCATGTTCTAACCAATTTTTGTTTTGTTTTTAGCTTTGACCGAAGGGGATGAGGGTCCTTTCCAGAGCTCTATAACTATGACTAAACTTGGAGATAATGTGACTCTGACATGTAAAATCCCTAGGGATGATGTTGGGTTGTCTTACTGGTATAAGCTGAATTTTGGAAGCGTGATTGAAACAATTGCTTCAGGAAGTTTTGACAAAATATCACTAAAGGGACCATTTAACAACTCAAGATTCAATGCCACAAAAGTGGGTGATATCTATTCTCTTACCATAACAAATGCAACCAAAGAAGATGAAGCAACTTACTTATGCCAAGCAGGAACGGCATACATAATGGAATTTTTTAATAGCACGCTTTTGGTCGTGGATGGTAACGTATTTTAATTTGACTGTTTTTGTCATATCTGCTTCTAAACCCAAATAATTACAGTTAATGCTGTTTCATGACTTTTTATGATTCACACAGATACAAAAACGCTGCAGAAATCTTTCACCGTGAAACAAACTTCAGACGTGGAGTCAGTACATCTGGGTGATACAATGACTCTGCAGTGTTCGCTCCTCTCTGAGAACAAAGATGACACAGATCAGTGTCCAGATGAAGACAACGTGCACTGGTTTAAAGGTGCATCAGAATCCCATCCAGGCAGCATTTACCACGGCAGTCTCAGAAATAAAGAGGACGGGAGATGTGACTACAGTCTGTCCAAAACTGTAACAAACTCATCTGATGCTGGGACGTACTACTGTGCCGTGGTGACATGTGGACAGATCCTGTTTGGTGAAGGAACTGAAGTGGAGATAGGTATGTTTTTGAAGTATTATTTTAATATTTGCTTATCTGTACTAGTTGTTGCTGCACTGATTTTGTGAGCATGTAAGAGAGCAATTTAAGTTTGATCGATCTTATATAAACATTATAATGTTCTTAAGCCTCACTGGTTTCTTTGCCCTATGAAGTAGTTTTTCAGTTTGCAGCCCACATGAGTTGATAAATTCACAGGTGGCATTCAGCTGCCTCTGTGACCTTTGCTTCTTTTTTCTCTGTACTTTTCTGTGTATGTGTTTTATCCCCATTTCCTGCATTGTTCACGTAAAGGCCTCTCTGTTTCAGCTGCTCATGTTGTCTTGTGTACTTCACATGATGATTTTTGTTGTGACAGTGTTGTTCATATGAACACTTAAAATACACCACAATCCAATAGGAAAATTGTATAATAAGAATATGTCACATGAAGTTTACAGGCAAGTTAATAAATTAGTTTTGTTTTATTTTTTCAACTGTGTTTAAACTCTCCCAAATATGAACGTGCTGATGTTTAGCAGAGGGGTGCACTATGACACATGTTCAACATAGCTGGGCTCTTTGTGACAAAATCTAAAATGCAGTGAGAGATGATTGGTCTCATTATCATCTTTCGCTGCAGAAAATCATTAATCTTGTGATTTGATCATGACAAACCCACTGATGAGTAAGATAAATTTATCTGTACAAAGAAATTAAGGGAAACAGTTATTCATATTAAAAAAGGCTACAACTGTATTTGTGAACTCTTTCTGCACCACTCTCTTTTATTTCCCGTATATTGACAAATTTCCATGAAATAGTAATTTATCTGTATTATTTTTTATTTATATTGTACAATCCAATGGTGAGTAAATGCAATGGGTGAATAAATGAATGCATTCAACACGAGGTACAACATTCATTTTGCCAGATTCAAAGAGCGTCACCTTTGTGAAAGTGGAAATTGAACTAAGCTACACATAGTTCACTAGCCCATTAATCTGGCTTTGTTGTACAGCTGTTACTTTGTAATGTAGGGAAGAAAAAGTGCTCTTGAGGTTGAGGAGAAAAAGGTTGTCTGCAGGCATGTCATGATTTTCAGGGTGGGCCAAGTTCTTTTTAATATAATTGTTCTGAAGTAGTGCTTAGTAAAAGTTGAACGTATACATAAAAAATCATGAATGAATGTCTGAACTTTTATGATAATTTATTACTGCACATGTAGGAAAATGAGTCAATGAAGTGGTTGGAGTCCAGAATGTTTTTTGTTTCTAGTCTTAAAGTCCTAAATATGAAAACAATCATTATATGTACTTAACATAGAACTGATCTGTATGTAGACGTGCACTGTTACACAGACTTATAAATGAGATGTTAAATGTCTGGGATGTTTTCTCATCCCAGAGGGGTTCCCGCTGGTTACTGTGCTTGTGATACTGCTGACCTGCTCTGTGGTTGTGAATATTGCACTGATTCTCACCAGAAAACAAAAACCAGATTGGAAACACAGCAGAGGTAGGTTACTGACACATGCATACA